TCGATGTAACGGATACGGAATTGCGAAGTTGAGAGTACGGCGAAAAAGAATTGTCGTGGAGTTGTACAGTTCGAAAAATGACCACCTAGATAGATGGTTGCATTTCACATGTGATACGTTTCCATAAAGTTGTAAAGAATATGGAATTGCAAAGTTGAAGGTATGGGAAAAAGAATTGTCGTGGAGTTGTACAGTTCGAAAAATGACTGCCTGGATTATTAGATTTGACGTGTGATACGTTTCCATCAGATTCCAGAGGAAAGTAAAGAATATGGAATTGCGGAGTTGAAAGTACGTAAAAAAGAATTCTCGTGGAGTTGTACAGTTTGAAAAATGACCGTATCGATTATTCCATTCGACATATCTACGCTTCCATCAGGTTTTACAGGAAAATTTTATATGCCGTAAAGTATGTGGAATTGCGGAGTTGAATGTACGTAAAAAACAGAATTATCGTGGAGTTGTACAATTTGAAAAATGACCGTATCGATTATTCCATTCTACATATCCACGTCCCCATCAAGTTGTAAAGAAAAATTTTCTCGATTTAAAGAACATGGAATTGCGAAGTATGTACACATAAACTATACGAAAAAAAACAGAATTCTCGTGTAGGTGTACAGTTCGAATTACAAATTCACGAATACACATCGCAGCTTCGAATGAAAATTCATGAAAGAGAAAGAAATATACGGACAAGGCGGAGCAGTGCATCAAAGGAACAATGAAATTTCCATTAAGAAGTGATTGCTCGTGAAACAATTCGTCGAAGGCGGTTTTCCACGCGCTCGAACAGCCGCTCTGCCGCGACTAATTGATTCCCAGGCCGCTCTGGGACTCCATCGAGACGCGACGCGTTTAAAAAGGGAGAGAAAAGAAATCGCTGTGTATTTCTCGCCTACATTTCTTTCCGACCACGAAATAAAGAAAAAGAAAAAAGAGAAAAAAATGTAATACTTTCCCTCTCGTCGCGCAAACCTTTACCACTCGTCCTCGTCGTCGGTTGTGGAACCGACGGCGTGGACCGATATCAAGCTTCACACGAGGACGAGAACTTCGTGACTCGCCGAGGATAATTGATTCGTACAGCCGACGACGACGGAATCGAATCTAGATAGACGAAAGCTGTGAAAATAGAGAAGGGCGAGGAAAGAGGGCTTATCAGTTCAGCGCCTGGCTATTGATATGCAGCGCGGAAATCCTCCCGAGTCCCCGGGCTCTCCCCGGGCCTGAAATTAGAAGCTGCGACACGAATGACCGAGTGAAAAGCTGACGATTATATTACGCGAGGCGTGTCGGCTGATGGAATTTCGATCGAAAGAAAACGACCAGACGGAAAATGGTTAATGGAGAATCTTTGTCCGTGACGTTCTCTCGTCGTTCACTTTGTAACCACGTCAAACACCAAGTCTCACGAGTGTGTCTACTTTTTCGTTCTTTTCGCGACATTTTTCAGCGTTTCCTCGACGTTCCAAGTGAACTTCTTCGCTTCTTTCACTTGTGCACCTTCGTTCGTGGTTAGGCTAAATTGTGACGGTGAATATGCACGTTGCACGATAAAAAAAAAAGAAAAACAAAAAAAGACGACGAATCTTGTAAATGTTTGGTTTAATCTTTCGTTGGACTGTTTATGGATTCTGTGCCTGTTTCAAGTTTTTTACGGTATACACTCTGTATATAGATCTCGTTAGATCAATTGTAAAAGAACGGAGTATTATGACATGGAATGATAACGAGTGCATGATTCCTTCACGCGTGTAACACCGGTAGAAAAATTTCGAATCCTTTCCGTAAGAAATCACTTTTCCAAGAATCACCGAACGACCTTGAAATCTATAGCCCGATTCGATACTTTCCGACCGGTGGTTCACGTATGAGAACGCACGTGATCTATCGAAGCGTACCTCCGTTAATTTCGTACGTAGGATTCTATTCGATGCAGCTCCCGGTGCACGATCTAATAATTCGGTGGCGTAAAACGAACCATTCCCTCACGGACGGGTGAACATAGAACGGCTCGGTTCCCATTCAGCTACGCAACTGGAGCACAAAGCCGGTATCCATCCGATGCGATTACCATTGATCGAGACGCGCCGTAAAAATCGTTATCCTTCGCGATTTGTTAAAACGGACCCAA